GGCTACCTCTACTGACTCTAGCCATTAGGCAGTACTGCCCTGAATTGCGGGCTACCTCTACTGACTCTAGCCATTAGGCTGTGCTGCCCTGAATTGCGGGCTCCCTCTACTGACTCTAGCCATTAGGCTGTGCTGCCCTGAATTGCAGGCTACCTCTACTGACTCTAGCCATTAGGCAGTACTGCCCTGAATTGCGGGCTACCTCTACTGACTCTAGCCATTAGGCTGTGCTGCCCTGAATTGCGGGCTACCTCTACTGACTCTAGCCATTAGGCTGTGCTGCCCTGAATTGCGGGCTACCTCTACTGACTCTAGCCATTAGGAAGTGCTGCCCCAAATCCTAGGGCTGTGTTATAGGCTGTGACCATTGGGCTGCACTGCCTCGGGCAAGGGATGCTTGCAATGCGACATTTACCTTTAAAAGAGATTGAGTCTTTCTTTTACTAGCATATCTTAAACCAATTCCCTGACTGGAGCAGTCTGTACCAGCAAAAGGCCCCTTGGCCTCTAACTGTGTCCGCACTACAACATTTGTTGGCTTAGCCATGTTGGATGGGGGGAGCACACTCTACCTGAGGTAGCCATGCGGACAAGCCTTGTAAATGCCAAGCCAGCCCTAGAAAAGATGCTGCAGCAGACCCCAGGCCTTCGTGGCTGTGCTGCACACTTGGAATGGCGTAGAAACAGCAGCAATGGCATTCAGATCCTGTATTATTGCGGGAACTAAAAGAGAATCTCCATTAGCTACTAGCAGTATAGGGCCTATGAAACATAGCTGAACATTCTTCCTCCATGCTGCAAAGGGCAGTGCTGGTACGCAGTATGACCAGTCATGTGGCAAAAGTGTTTCTTTTTAGAACACCTGTCTTTTTTAACCAAAACTGCCAGGGACATTGGGAGTTTCTGTCTGCAACAGCTGCCACTTTGCCCTGCCTCCCAGCTGCAGCCCCCGCCTAATGCAAAAGGGTCGGTTTCCTGGAAAGGCAGCTGGCTGGTGCAAGGCGTAACAAAGGCCTTTCAGAGCTGGTGGAAGGGGGGACTTTGTTTATTCAAATTAGGTTTTACAATACTGGAAACCAATCGAAGGAGTTCCTTGAGGTTTTTTTAAAGATGTAGTTGCAGTGGATGAAGTTTTTAAAATAAACACCTAACCCTTCCCCTCGGCCTTCTTCAACCTAAATACTGAGCTGGTGAACAAACCCCCCTCCCGCCCCAGAAAACGCCAAACCCTTACTGGGTTACACTGCTCAGGGACTGTCTGCGCTAACTTGAAGCCATGAGCTCTCGGAGTATTTTAAAAACCCTCGAGTGAAAGCCATGCGGGCTTGTGCCTGGAATTAATGGGTTGGGTCCCCGCGCTTTGCGGCAATTTGTCTTGCATTGTTTCCTTCCCGGTTCAAGCTACGCTGCAGAAAGCCGCTTTGAAAACCAAACCTGAGAGTCTACAGAGGGGTGTGCGCGGGGTTAACGAAGCCATTTGCAAAAGTGACTTCAGTGGAAACCAGCGGGCCTCGGCGTGGCCACAGGGCCTGCTAACCTGGAGCGTGCGGCAGAGATGTGACCTCACCACGCTTGTGAACCGTCACATCCGCCCACTAAAGCGCTGCCCCAGTTCACTCACCTTCTCAGGCCCGGCCGGTCTAGAACCAGCTCCGTCGAAACGGGTTCATTCCCTGTGGGGTCAGGACCAGCCACAGTCAAGTGGAACGCGTCCACCTGCCGCTCCCCCACAGTGCACCGGTGTGGCCCGAAATCTCCCAGAATGCCTTGCTGCCAGGAGCCGTGCTGGGGGCAGATGCGGAGGGGGTGAAAGGGCCAGAGTTCCCAAGCTGGTGTGAACGGGCGCCTGGTCAGTCTGGACACTGGACACAGTCTGGCTTGGTGCCCCTCCGCCGAGGGGCGGGAGAGATTTGGGGGTGCGTTGCCAAGGACACAAGCGGTAGGTATATAAGGTACTTATCCGCCCCCGTTAGCCTGTACCTGAGCACGACAGAACCATTAGTACACTTTGGGAGGCTGGGCAGGGCTGTTGTTCCCATTGCCCGGCTGGGGAAACTGAGGCACAGTGCGACTAAGGGAGCTGCCCAGCTCAAACGGGGAGTCTGTGGCAGTCCCTAAGGGGGAGGAGGGGCAGGGCTGTTGTTCCCATTGCCCGGCTGGGGAAACTGAGGCACAGTGCGACTAAGGGAGCTGCCCAGCTCAAACGGGGAGTCTGTGGCAGTCCCTAAGCAGTAGGGGCCTTCCCTCCCCCCAGCCGCTGGCGCAGGAAGAGTGGAGCGGCCCGGGGGCTGAGGGCCCACAGGGAGGGCAGAGCCGTCCCCGAGGACTCCGCCCGGCGCTGCCTCAGGAAACCAGAGGCGTCTTTGCGGTTTCGAAGCAGCAGCAGGTGAGGAAGGCGCCAGCAGGCAGCGGATGTTTGTCAAGAGCGGAGGCGGCGTGAAGCAGAGTCGCCCGGAGTCACTCCCAGCTCAGAGGCACATCGCGTAGACCCAGCACCCGGGGCCCTCAGGCCAGCGGTGGGGGTGGCGCGTGTGAGCGCCCCCTGCTGACTCTGTGCACAACAAGCTGCCCTGCCCAGGTGCCCCCGCGCCCGGGCCGTCCCATGTCCGCTGCTTGGGACGAGGCCGCAGGCACGGCTGTGGTCGGTTGTAGGCGCAGGGTGCCTGTCGGGGGCATTCACAGCACCACCATCCAGCCCTCCCTGCCAGGCTCTGCGCCCTGCTGGCCTCTCTCCAGGGCCCGATCCTGAGCGGGGCCGGCCAGCAGGTGGTCTCGCCCCCCAGCTGCCCGGCCCCGCTCTGCGCCCTGCCGGGCGCCAGCTGCAGCCGAGCCAGTGGAGGGAGGGCGCCGTGTGCAGGGCAGATGCCTCAGCCCCTCTCCCTAGGCTGGGTGACGCACCGGCCCGCCCTGTGCCAGGCACCTGGCAGCAGGGTCAGATGGCAGGGGCCGTTCTGCGCCTCTGGGTGGGGGGACCACGTGAGCTGCCGAGGAATTTGCTTCCTCAAAAGGGTTTCCCTGTGAGGTCGGAGCCCTTGGCGACTTTCTCTGCTCCCTCCTGCCTTTCCACCAGGCAACCCTCACTAACCAGGAAGGAGCTGGGGGTGAACAATTCAGCCTGCGGCTACAGTATCTGGGTGACCCCACTCAGACCAGGGCCAGGCCGTGGAGTGCTGCACACCCACAGAGGAGCAGGCCTTGCCTGCCTGCAGCGCTGACAGTGGTTCTCAGCCGGGGGACGTGGGTGTCTCCCGAGGGTGCGTCACCTCCTCTGGCTGTTGTCTGGCTTTCCAGCAGGCAGCGTACAGAGCCCGAGCGAAGTCAGACCAGACTGAAGTGTCACACAGGCTGTGGTGGCTCACGCTGCTCTCGGTGCCGTGCGCCGAACTGTAGGGACCGGGTTTCTATTCCAGTTGCTGTGTTTGACGGTTAGATGGTAAAATGAGGAAATCCGCCTTTGGCCCGTGGTCCGGGGGCTGCGGCACTTTGGCAGGGTTAGGGCTGATTCTGTAAGCAAGTCGTTTTAAACTCAGGGGGAACAGCCGCCCGGAAAGGGGACAGCCACGGAGATAAGCGGTAAAGGAAGGATTGGGGTTGCCTCTGTTCCGAGGAACAGAGTAGGTGATGTGCCTAAGGGCACGCAGAGAGTCTGTGGCAGAGGCAGGAGTCGACGCCAGCTCTCCCCAGAGCTAGTCCAGTTTCACCTCTCAAACAGCCTGGCTTTCCCTTAGCCTCATGGCTCCGCTTTGATCTCATCTCGTGGGGATGGGGGTGACATTGGATATCCCCCTCAATCTCCCCCCCATACCTCTTAACCCTGCACAGCCCCTGGGATGGTGGCATGCCCCTGGGGAGTCTGGGTAACAGGGGGTTGCTGCTGTGAAGGACACTGACGCGCCTCCCCCTTAACATGCCCCAGTGTGGTGAATCGCCTGGGCCAGAGGGGAGGGTGTGACAGACAGACTGCTGGAAAACGTTAGGACAGACAGACAGAAGGGGGGGGGATGGGGATAGTGCAGCTGGCCCTGGTTACATGGCCTGCCCCGGGTAACTCGCAGCCTTACCCCGTGTGAGGCCAGCCCTGGCTCGCAGTGTGCGAGGGGCATGGGCTTTCATTGGGGGGCTGGCAGCACGTTACGCCATGAGATGGAGCTAAGACTGCGCTGAGGCACGGGGCTGCCTTCAGGAGCCACCGCAGGCCTTTGTGCCTCAGTTTCCCCCGAGGCCAATGGCAGTAGCCTTGCTTGCTTTGGCTGTAGAAGAGTGCTCTGGATTGGCCTGAGGTGCTGAGCACCCGTCCCCCCCACCGGCAGCAGGCGGCGCAGCGCCTGGAAGGGGGCCTGGGCTGGCCGGGCACGCAGGATCTGAACACAAAGGGCGAGGGAGGCGGGAGGGAAAAGCCGACGGACAAGGAATCAGCTGGCAGACAGATGCCTAATTCCAGCTGCTCTTAGAGCCATTGTCCGCAGCAAATGCTCTTCCCCATCTGGCCCGTGTGCAGCTACCCCGCGAGGCCTGGGGCTCTCCTGGCAG